AAATACCGTCATGTACCGTGAAACCGGTATAATTTTGAAAAATACCGTGATATGAATTTTTGGTCATACTGCCCAGCACTAATTGAACACATACGTGTTCATAACCAAACCCTGTAACTTGACATAAATCCCAACATTTTCAAATAAAAGAACCACAAAAGCGATTAAACATATAATGGTAACTCTTTGTCTTATTTCTTGTAAAGCCACGAAATAAGTATCTCTATTTTACTTTACTTGGTTTAACATAGGGATGCAATTTAAAACTAATTTTGGCTGATAGCCGATGTTGATATATAATTATTTTTAATTTTGTTTGTTAACTTATTTGAACTTATTTGTTAGCATTAAATAAACAATAAAGTTCTTTTTTAATTACAGTACATTGAAGATTTGAAAATAACTATAAATAAACTGTGTATCACTGCATTTCTTTTTTTCAGAAAGATGCAGTGGTAACCTTAACATTTTATTTTATGATTTAACATTTGTAAATGGTCTAAAGCAAAAGAGTTGTAAAAATTAGGGATGCTCCGATCCGCCTTTTTCGCCTCCGATACAGATTCCGATACCTAGGGTTCGGTATTGGCCGATAACAATCCGATACCAATGAAGTTTTTTCCCCGCATTTAAATAAATGTAGAATTTATATATCTCTGTGTGTGGAACTGATAATCATTCTTTCACAATCTACTAGATACAGACTACTTCATTATAAAGAAAAATGAAATAAACAATAAATATGAAAAAATATAGGCCTATGTATATTTATAATCTATGACAAAAATGTATCATAATCTAGGTTAGTGGATAATTCGGCAGCAAAAGTTATTCTAGAAAAATTAGTGCACAATAATTTTAGAAATCCAAACATTTAGTGTAAAAACAATATTTTGTGGGAAACAAATAAAAGTGTTGCACTAAAAATGGTAAAAAGTTACACATTGCTATTTGCATTATAAAATCCATTCATTAAAAACATTCATATATATGTTTAAGTATATACTATAAAATTAAAATACATTTCTTTTGAATGTATAGCATATTTTTTAATAAGGCAACAACATATGATAGATACGATAGGACAAAACAAATACAGTGCAGCACGAACTGTTTTTATACAGTTTATGAGCACGAAGTGCTTACAATGTCCGCATCCGGTGTACAGAATGATGCGCCTGAAGCAACATTCTGCACACCGAATGCGCACATTGTAGGCGCTTCGTGTTAAAAACTGCAAAGCACAAAGAGAAGAGAAATTGATGCATAGTGTATTATATCTGAGCAACAGTTATTGAGCCTTTCTTTTAACAGTTTTCAATTTCAGTTACTGTGCACGTTAAAACAGACGAAGCCGCGATTATAAATGAGTGACTCCTGGTTAACATGTATTAAAAGAGGTCATGTTTAGTCACTATTTAGTGTGGTATTTTTTGACAATATTCACTCATCATGACAGTAAAATAGGGCATTCAAAGTCAATATACTGCAGTATTTCCTCTCTCAATCAGTAGAAAATATGGTTAACACCCGGTCATGCATGAAAAAAATAAATACCGTCATGTACCGTGAAACCGGTATAATTTTGAAAAATACCGTGATATGAATTTTTGGTCATACTGCCCAGCACTAATTGAACACATACGTGTTCATAACCAAACCCTGTAACTTGACATAAATCCCAACATTTTCAAATAAAAGAACCACAAAAGCGATTAAACATATAATGGTAACTCTTTGTCTTATTTCTTGTAAAGCCACGAAATAAGTATCTCTATTTTACTTTACTTGGTTTAACATAGGGATGCAATTTAAAACTAATTTTGGCTGATAGCCGATGTTGATATATAATTATTTTTAATTTTGTTTGTTAACTTATTTGAACTTATTTGTTAGCATTAAATAAACAATAAAGTTCTTTTTTAATTACAGTACATTGAAGATTTGAAAATAACTATAAATAAACTGTGTATCACTGCATTTCTTTTTTTCAGAAAGATGCAGTGGTAACCTTAACATTTTATTTTATGATTTAACATTTGTAAATGGTCTAAAGCAAAAGAGTTGTAAAAATTAGGGATGCTCCGATCCGCCTTTTTCGCCTCCGATACAGATTCCGATACCTAGGGTTCGGTATTGGCCGATAACAATCCGATACCAATGAAGTTTTTTCCCCGCATTTAAATAAATGTAGAATTTATATATCTCTGTGTGTGGAACTGATAATCATTCTTTCACAATCTACTAGATAAAGACTACTTCATTATAAAGAAAAAGAAAATAAACAAATATGAAAAAATATAGGCCTATGTATATTTATAATCTATGACAAAAATGTATCATAATCTAGGTTAGTGGATAATTCGGCAGCAAAAGTTATTCTAGAAAAATTAGTGCACAATAATTTTAGAAATCCAAACATTTAGTGTAAAAACAATATTTTGTGGGAAACAAATAAAAGTGTTGCACTAAAAATGGTAAAAAGTTACACATTGCTATTTGCATTATAAAATCCATTCATTAAAAACATTCATATATATGTTTAAGTATATACTATAAAATTATATACTATATTTCTTTTGAATGTATAGCATATTTTTTAATAAGGCAACAACATATGATAGATACGATAGGACAAAACAAATACAGTGCAGCACGAACTGTTTTTATACAGTTTATGAGCACGAAGTGCTTACAATGTCCGCATCCGGTGTACAGAATGATGCGCCTGAAGCAACATTCTGCACACCGAATGCGCACATTGTAGGCGCTTCGTGTTAAAAACTGCAAAGCACAAAGAGAAGAGAAATTGATGCATAGTGTATTATATCTGAGCAACAGTTATTGAGCCTTTCTTTTAACAGTTTTCAATTTCAGTTACTGTGCACGTTAAAAATAATTCAGTCAATTCTACACGGACCGCAAGCACTGTGTTTGGTCTGCTAGAACCCCTCCCTCCGTATGTATTTGAGTTTTGTGTGTTTTTTTTCCACTTAAATATATTTTAATGTTATACCTTATTTAAAATAAAACAAAGCAAAAAACAAGTGTCTTATTTATTATACAACATAGCATATACATCACTTAGTTGTCCGCGACAAACAATGTTGTTCTGTCATGGTACAAGTCCTTGTGGAGATTGAAAGAATGCCATCTTTTCCTGTTCCGTTGTTGTCTCTTTTTTGTAGTTTTAAATAAATGATCTCTTCTTGAATATTTATTTGCCGCTGTCACAGCTGATGCTTCTCCGATAAGCTGCTTCTTCTTGGGCTTTTGCCTGACACTGTGGGCTACACCAGCAACATGCCTGTGGGCACTGCAGACTAGTGGGTTACATGTGTAATGGCACGTCGATGCTGAAGAATAAATTAAAAGCGACGCACAGCCTACGGCAGGGTTCCTCAAAACTTGCCCTGGAGGGCCAATACGCTGCAGAGTTTAGCTCCAACCCTGATCAAACTCACCTACCTTTAATTTTCTAATGATCCTGAAGACACTGATTAGTATGCTCAGGTGTGTTTGATTAGGGTTAGAGCTAAACTCTGCAGGAAAGTGGATCTTGTGGGCCAGATTTGAGGATCCCTGGCTTACGGCGTAACGGCTATGGCGTAGGTCCGACGCAGAAGTATAAATCAGCCTTTAGAGAGCAGGGGCCCGTTACAATAAGGAGGTTCAACCAACTCGGAGTTGAAACTCAAACTCTGAGTTGACTTATCCTGAGATGGGAAACTCTGAGTTTTCGGTTTCAGAACAGCTAAATTGTGTTAGTTCAGTCGACTCTGAGTAGGTTGACTCTGAGTTTAGCGCGTGCACCACGACTATGAGAAGTCATGATCAATGGAGCTCCGAAATTATGATTCACCATGGCAACAGCACCGACAAAAAGACATCCGCATACTTCAGAGTCAATAATTAACTTTACAGTTTTTTTACCTCTGATATTATAACAGTGATTGAGAATTAAATTATTTAAAGGGGTCCTATTATGCTTTTTCACTTTTTCAACTTTAGTTAGTTTGTAATGTTGCTGTTTGAGCATAAAAAAAGATCTGCAAAGTTACAAAGTTCAAAGTCCACTTCAAAAGGAGATATTTTATTTAACAGAAATCAAAATTTTACAACAAACGACTCGTTTGGGCTACAACAAATTTTTTCCGGGATTTGTGATATCACAAATATCGACGAATGGGACTAGAGAAGGCAACGAGTGTTCAAATCGCATTCAAATTGATTTGATATTGACACTGAAGCTCACAAGCGGCTATGGTAAGAGGCAAGACATTTCCCGACCAGGCGCCGAGTGCTGCCAATCACAGCACACACTGGCCCAGTTAACCAATCACAGCACACACTGGCCCAGTTAACCAATCAC